AAACTGATTTTGCAATGATGGCCAATATGGATATAATTCCTTCTTTCATAGAGAATGTGGTCCAGTGAATAAGATTGACAAGCTCAATGAGTTGAATGGTGTTCCCCCAAAATTCATGTCCACGAAGAAACTCCATAATATGGCCTTATTTGGAAACAGTAACTTTGCATGTGTGATTAGTTGAAGATCTTGAGGTGAAATTACTGTGGATTCAGGGCTTCCTATAAGAAAAGACCTAGAGATACTGGGAAGAAGGCCATGCAAAAAGTGACACAAGTGATACCTCCCCAAGCCAGTGAACACCAGGAACCATCAGAGGCTGGAAGAGATAAGGAAGCATTCTCCCTGAGAGACTTTGGTGAGAGAGTGACCTTGAAGAAACTTTTGTCTTCTGGCTTTCTGAACAGAATAAATATGTGATTTTTAAAGTTATCTAGAATATGGGACTTTGTTACAGCAATTCTAGGAAGCTATTAATTTCAGACTTCCAGATAGAAAGGCTGCGTGTATATATACGTATCTTGGTGTGAGAGAGGCCTGAAAAGTTTAGGATTTTTTTTTTTTTAAAAGATCACTTTCATTCAATTATGAAGAACTAATGAGAAAACGAAAAGATAAAGTTGAAGATGTAAACATGATCTAGATGATAAAAAAAATTTTAAAAAAGCTTTAAAACTATTCCAAAAAGTTTGGAATTTAACCCAGTAGCAACGGAAATCCTTGAATGCCTTGGGGAAAATGAAGAATTTGAAATGCTTGGCATATCACTGTGGATGCAAAATGGAGAGTCTAGTGAAGGGTGTGTGCCTGGGGGTGGGGAGATTGATTATGTGACTGAGTGGTGCAGTGGTGATAGGAGACTGACTTTGGGTAGACTTATGGCTGCAGCCACTAACAGAAATGTAGACTTGCCTTTGAGATATATACTGATCAGGTAGTATTCACTGTGGTACATAAAAACTGCTGAATACTTACTGTGTGCTGGATGTTTTTATTTAACTTTTTAAAAGATTTATCTTATTTATTTGAAAGAGTTACAGAGAGAGGTAGAGACACAGAGAGAGGTCTTTGATCCACTGGTTCACTCCCCAAATGGCCGCGAAGGCCAGAGCTGAAAAGCCAAAGCTTCTTCTGGGTCTCCCATATGGGTGCAGGGGCTGAAGGACTTGGACCGTCCTCAGCTGCTTTCCCAGGAGCATTAGCAGGGAGCTGAATTGGAAATGGAGCACCTGGGACTGAATCTGCAGCCTACGTGGCATGCCGGTGCTGCAAGCTAGGGCTTTAATCTGCTGTGCCACTGTGCTGGCCCCTTGATTTAACTTTTTTTAAGATTGATCGATTGATTTGAAAGGCAGAGTTACAGAGAGGCAGAGGCAGAGAGAGGGAGAGAGAGAGAGAGAGAGCCGTATTCCATCCACTGATTCATTTCCCAGATGGCTGCAATGGCTGGACTGAGCTAATCTGAAGCCGGGAGCTAGGAGCTTCCCCCGGGTCTTCCCATGCGGGTTCAGAGGCCCAAGGACTTGGGCCATCTTCTGCTATTTTCCCAGGCCATACCAGAGAGCTGGATAGGAAGTGGAACAGCCAGGACTTGAACCAGTGCCTGCAGGTACTACAGGTGGCAACTTTACCTGCTATGCCACAGCTCTGGCCCCCTAACCTTTAATAGTCAGTATTAGTTTCTCTGTTTTATAGAAAGATGACACTGAGTCTTAAGGAATTTGCTCAAAAGTATGCAATGATTAAGGTGCAGAGCCAAGACCAAGACTATTCTCAAAAGTGTTCTGCTAAATATTTTAAATATACTTTGTGACTGAGAGTTCAATGTACTTCCTAGCTTGATGGGGCAGAGAACAGAGGAGAGGGAACAGGTTTGTGAAGGATGAGCTTGTCTTTGGTTTCAGACACATTGACTTTTGAGGTACCTCCGGGTCCTGTTAGTGGAGCTAAATTAGTCGGCTTTTCACTGCCATATTAAATATTGAGGCAGACTAATTTTATTTTTAAAAATGATTTATTTATCTTATGGTTTTCAAGGCCAAAAGGCCAAATAACATTCCACTATGGGTAAGGGCCACAGTACAGAAGATGGGACCATGTGTGTGAGAAGATCACATTGCAGTACAGAAGAAATAACCCCCAGTGGCCTAATGACTTGCTACTGGTCCCTGCATCTTAAAGGATCCACAGCAGTTCTCAATACCAGAACTCTTGAGACCAAGCCTCCAACACATGGACCTTCGGGGAGAACACATTTAAACCATGTCCAAACCACAACAGATCCAAAGATTCATAGACAGGGCAGTGGGAACATGTGAAGTAAAAACCATGAGGGTGGTGTTGGCATTTTGGTGCAGCGGGTTAAGCCTTGGCTTGAGACACCTTTCAGAGTGCCAGTTTCAGTCCAGCTGCATTGCTTCTGATCTAGCTGCATGCAAATATGCCTCAGAAGGCAGTAAATGATGATTTGTGTATTTGTGTCCTTGCCACCCACGTGGAAGGCCTGGATTGAGCTCCTGGCTCCTGCTTTAGCCTGGCCCAGCCCTGCTTGTTATGACCATTTGAGGAATGAATGAGCAGCTTAGAATATCTGTCTGTCTTTCTCTCCCTTTCTGTCCCTCTGCTTTTCAAAGAAATGAATAAACAAGCCTTTATAAAGGAATTATATTATGTAAAAATGTTAAACATGGAACCATGGAGTTCACTGAGATGGTTCAGGGAGTGAATAAAGTGAATTTCCAGGACATATTCCTAGGAATATCAATATTTAAAGGTATGGTAAAGGAAGAGGAGCCCACAGACAGACTAATTATAAGTTGTTAGAAAAAGGAAGATAATGGGGCTGGCATTGTGGCACTTCAGGCACTTCTGTAATGTTGACATTCCCATGGGTGGCAGTTCAAGTCCCAGCTGCTCCACTACCTATCCAGCTTCCTGCTGGTGTGCCTGGGAAAGCAGTGGAAGTGACCCAAGTCCTTGGACCCCTGTACCCATGTGGGAGACCCAGATGGAGTTCCAGGCTTCTGGCTTCAGCCTGGCCCTGCCCCAGTCATTGCAGCCATTTGGGTGTGAACCAGTGGATGGAAAACACCTCTTTTCTCCCTCCCTCCCTCTCTCCCTTTCTTCCCCCACCCCCATAACATACTTGAATATGTTTAAATGACTGTGAAAAGAAGGCAGTAGAGGTTGTAGAGGTGAAAATTTGAGAAAGAGAGAAGACAGTAGAACAGATGCTTTGGGTATGCCAAGGGAGAGATGATCCAGAGCATGGACACAGGGATTTGACCTAAACAGGAAATACCTCATTAATTTCAATAGACGTTTACTTCCTATTTTGAAAGAAAGGAATAAATTTGCAGGTTAGTTGGCAAGAAGTTGGATAAGTTCTATTTTCTCTGAAAAAATAAGATACAACGTTACCTGGAGGTCAGAGTTTGAGCAGAGTGGAGACAATCTGGAACCACTGCTGGGCCAAACATGATGTGGACTATGGAAAATCAGCAATCATGGAAACCATGGAACTGAGGGATGACACATGGGCAGATAAGGGGGAAGCCCTGAAATTAAAGGAGCAGTAACTGGGCCAGTGGGTGATTTTCTTCAACGCTATCAGCAGATTGGACATTAGGCTTTGTTAGGTGGATAAGGCAACAAACAAAAGATATGAAGCTCAGGACACTGGCAAGAGTGACCAACGAGATGATAGCATCTGTTAAATAGTAGATATGAAGTATAAAATCTTGGTATCTATCTCAGGCCTGTTAACTAGTTCAGTTGCCTTGTGAACAACGCTTCAACTCTCTGGGCTTAAGCTTTCCTTTTCTATAATGTGAAGGATTAGACTAGCTGATCAATCTCTAAGGTCTATTCCAGGCTGAAAATTGTGTCTGGGACTGCAATAGGAAGTAGTGAAGGAAAGAAAGAATGGACAAGAAGAGTCAAAGTGGGCTGTAAATTCACAGATTTGAGGCTACCACCGAATGCATTTGTTCCATTTGAGATGTATACATAGGCCGGCGCTGCGGCTCACTAGGCTAATCCTCCACCTTGCGGCGCCAGCACACCGGGTTCTAGTCCCGGTCGGAGTGCCGGATTCTGTCCCGGTTGCCCCTCTTCCAGGCCAGCTCTCTGCTGTGGCCAGGGAGTGCAGTGGAGGATGGCCCAAGTGCTTGGGCCCTGCACCCCATGGGAGACCAGGAGAAGTACCTGGCTCCTGTCATCTGATCAGTGTGGTTCGCCGGCCGCAGCGCGCCGGCCACAGCGGCCATTGGAGGGTGAATCAACGGCAAAGGAAGACCTTTCTCTCTGTCTCTCTCTCTCACTGTCCACTCTGCCTGTCCAAAAAAAAAAAAAAAATCATAGAACAAATGATGCATTGCTGAACTTCAGCAGAGACATAGTACTTTAATGAGAATTCTATTAGGAAATAAACGTAGGGAAACTTGGTTTATCATATTACAGGGAATGACTAGGCATGGTGAAATTTACAATAGCAGTGGGATATGGACATGTCCATGGTGGAAGGACTATGTTAAATGGAAGATGCAACTGAAACTGTGAAACCTTTCCCTAATCCATCTTCCCCCATAGAAAATGACACTGCCTCCCTTTCTGGGAGGGTAGTGAATGCCTTGGTAGAGTATTAGGAATTCAATATTAACCATGTCATTTAAGTTTATAGTTCATTGTATAAATCATAACTTATACTGGTTAAAATAAAAGAAATGCTATTTGGTATTAAAAGATAAAGGTTTTTGGAGCCAGTGCCATGGCTCACTTGGTTAATCCTCCACCTGTGGTGCCGGCATCCCATGTGGGTGCCAGTTCGAGTCCCAGTTGCTCCTCTTCCAGTCCAGCTCTCTGCTATGGCCTGGGATAGCAGTGGAAGATAGCCCAAGTGCTTGGGCCCCTGTACCCACATGGGAGACCAGGAGGAGGCACCTGGCTCCTGGCTTTGGATCAGTGTAGCTGCAGCTGTTGCGGCCATTTGGGGAGTGAACCAATGGAAGGAAGACCTTTCTCTCTCTCTCTCTCTCACTGTCTGTTACTCTACCTCTCAAATACATAAATAAAATATTTTAAAAAAGGATAAAGGTTTTTAACAGATAATTTTGGAGATTTAGTCATTAGGGAAAGAAATTGGGATGCTTCTTGTATGTGTCTATCACGTATCACTTTCAAGTGAATTACTATGAAAAATAGAGATAGAGAACAAACCCAAAGGTTAAAAGGAAACTCTGCATCTCCTCCTGTATAGGGTTTTTATTTCCCTACATGAGAGTAGCAGTTTGGAGAAGACTCTGAACCCAGTCATCGGTCATTTGGGATTTGGAGCACAAATGGCCCCATTTCAAGGCTGACACACATGTCAGTGGGTCTAGTGGCACATTTTAGGAGTGAAACATCTTCTTGTGTAGCAGAAGGCAACTGACATGACCTCAATGTGTTAGGATTCACCTCAGGAGGACTTTATAAGGAAATAAAATAAAACCCCAAATTTCTGAAGTGTGAAGTTAAAGTTTTCTGTGTGAGACACAGATGATGGGATTATCAATAGTGAAGGGAGCAAACTAAAGCACTTGAATGTTTAGCTAAGCATACCCAAATTTCTCATTTCAGTATGGATAGAAATAACCACTCTGGAGGTATTTCCGTAATCTTGTCTCCAGCTCCAGCCAGGAATCAGGAAGAAAAAAGTCCTTCCAAAGCAGTTTATACCCTAAAAATAAAGATGACAAAAAGTCAGATTCAGATTAAATTGGAAAAGCTAGTTATTCAGAGCAGTAGTTTTATCTCACTAAGACAGAAATATATAGGCTACAGTAACAGAACCGTAAGTATTTATTCACCGTATACAGAGAGAAATAACTGGCTCCCAGCTTTAGTCAATATGCACTCACAAATGCTCAATGAAATGTTGGCGGGCAACATTGATTATTAATAAATCCAAAATGGCCACATTTTCTGATGACAGAGCTGGGACCTAAGGGAAATGATGTATGCCACTTGTTATACAATCTCTCTTTGACTGTCTTCCAGGGCTTTGGTGAGCTAAGGCAGCAAAATATAGCTCTAGTTCTGCTGAGTCGTTTCAAGGACTATAATTATATTTTATAGTATTTAGTTCAACTAAATCGTTTTTCATTTTAACTCTAATAGTGCAACAATAGCTTGAAACCTTTGATTTTTGTTCCCCAAATGTTTCTGTTTTATTGCAAATGTTCTAAAGTCCTATCTGCACCATGAAAGTACCTGATAATATGTTCCTTCTGAAATGTGACTCTGAGAAGGGGCTGTCCTAGACGACTTTCAACTTTAGAGATTATATTTTGTCTTTGTTAAGAAAGACAGCATCTTGAATTAGAAGAGGATATTGAGTCCTTAGGATATCTGGCTTTCAGTTCTGGCTTTCTCTATCTGCTGTGTGACCTTGGGAATTCATAAAACTACCTGGGCCTCGTTGGCTTCTATGTAAAGTGAATGATGGATTTGCAAGATGCCAATGCTAACTTTCTATAACTCCATGAATATACAGGCTTTTTATAAAATGTTGATGATGCTCTCAGGATAGACTTACTATCCTCTTAAACAGCTTTGTGAGAAGTGGTAGAAGTCAGAACTATTAGCTTCCATTTTTGATTTTATTTAATTAAAAAAAACTATCAGAGTTTTGAGTGACTCATTTAAGGAAAGAGTAGAGAGAAAGGAAAAAAAATGAATTTCAAATGAATGAATAGAGAAATGAGTTATTAAAACCAAATTTTAAATTTGGAGAACATTTTTGTGATCTAAATAAGGTATGAAATGCTACAACAAAATTAACAAGGAAGAAAAAATCTACAGCTTAACAAATGTAGAAAAATGAGCAAGAAGATTAAGAATGCCATCTAGGAAGATTTTATTTCTACTTGAGGCATATGTATATGCTACATTTGGTCAGACTGGGACCATAGCTTCCTATATAGCTTATGAGGAATGAAGGTGAATTTTGATCTTCACTTGAAAGACTCCTTTATCTAATCTCTAAATTGATTCCAATGTGAAGGGGGAAAAAAGATGCTGTATTTAACAGCCCTGCTTCCAATTAATGTTCCATTTATTTGTGCTCTAGTGCCCTATGCTGTGGTTAGAAACTACAGTGTAGAAAGAAAAAGACAAGGGGGTGGTTTTGTGACACATCCCTGGAATCTCATATTGGAGTGCTGTTTTGAGTCCATGTTGCTCTGCTTTCAATCCAGCTCCCTGCCATTAGGCCTGGGAAAGCTCTGGAAGATGGCCCAAGTACTTGGGTCTCTGCTACCCAAATTGGGCACACAAATGGAATTTCTGACTCCTGGCTTTGGCCTGGCCCAGCTCTGTTGATCATTTAGGGGAATAAACGACCAGGTGGACGATCCCTGTCACTCTGCCATTGAAACAAATCATCTTTTATTTTTTTAAAAAAGAGAAAGAGTGAGGATATTGGACAGAAACAATAGTATTAAAAATACAATTGTAATTGCCATATCCAGAGAAAAAAAACAACAATTAAATATTTCTTACAGTGTTCTCTCTTGAGAACAAAATAAAATCTAGTCAACTAACATGAATTTGTTAAAGGAAATAAATAAATGTGGTAAATTGGTGTTGGGTCAATTGGTTTTCAGTGGAATGGTCATTTCAGTGGATTAGTCATTTGGCACACTGGCTTATAAAAATTGGTCATTGGCAGTTTGACCTACTTCCAAATGATTAATGGATTATTAATATAATAACCATGACAAATGTCACCCAGCCCAATTTAGAACAGCCAATGAGAAATATATTGTAATTTAAGAAAATCTAATAGTTAAAAACATTTATTTTTAAATGCTTGTGCTATACTTGTTTTCCTATTTTGCACTAACATTTGTGTAGTGGTTCTTAACTAACTGGGATGCCAGCGCTTCAGGCCAGGGCTTTAACCCGCTGCGCCACAGCGCTGGCCCCATCGTCCGCAAGGTTTGCTGATGGAGATAGGTAGGAGTAATGAGGTAAAGAGGTAAAAAAAATAGAAAAATCCTCACTTTACAGTTACTTTTATAAAGTGGTTTGCCATCTTCCGTTCCCAGAGAACATCAAAGCTTTCTTTTTCCTTCCTGAACACAGAGTGGATTCTTCAAAGATCTCCCTGATTGACTCATCAGATCACTCAACATTCAAGTGATGCAATGCTCTTTCCTGGCTGCCACTTCAGACCCCAACCTTAGCCTCTGAATTTCCCATGGTTGATTGCATGTAGATATTCAATGGAGCCTTGTTACCTTTGGAGAGAGGCTTCTTGAGAAGGATCCCATTTAATTTGGCAGAAAATCTGTCTGTCCCTATCATGGTCCATGGCCTAAACCTCATTTCCAGTAATAGTTATTTTTTTAATGAAGAATAACTTTTTTAAAAAAAATATTTATTTATGTATTTGAAAAGCAGAGTTACAGAGAGAGAGGGAGAAAGAGAGAGAGATGTCTTCCATCTACTGGTTCACTCCCCAAACCAAAGCCAGGAGCTGGGACCTTCTTCTAAGTCTCCTGCATGAGTGCAGGGGCCCAAGCACTTAGGCCATCTTCTTGTACTTTTCCAGACCCATTAGCAGGGAGCTGGGTTGGAAGTGGAACAGCCAAGACTCAAACTGGTACCCATATGGAATGCTGGCGCTGTAGACCATGGCAATTTGCTGTGTAACAGTACTGGCCCCAACAGTTATTCTTTACTTCAAGAAAACTCAAGGCCTACAGGTGAATCTTAATGCAACAGCATCTCTGTGCTGGTGCTGCCCTCAGACCTCTCACCTCTAGACCCTTGGGAGTCTTTGATATCAGAAAAGTGTGCTTCCCACCTCCAGGCAATACAGATGAAATTCTTAACAGGTTCCACTGAAGACTTGTTCTCCAGGATTGAGGCTGAGAGTGAAGGCTCTCACCTCCTGCTCTGACGGTTAGGGCAGGAGAATCCCTGCACAAATCTGCACTCGATTACTACTCTCATACATTTTTGTGTGTGTCTTATGAGGTTTAGAGCCTTCAAACCTGCTCCAGGTCACATAATTGGAGACTTTTGCTCAGTGGGACAAGAACTCATTTTGAAATTTAACATTTTTCTTACATGGTTACTGCAGTTGAAACTTCCATTTTTACCTCCTTTGTGCTTCTTGCAAGCTTTTTAAAAAATTTATTATTTTGGGGGTTGGTGCCTTGGTGTGGTAGGCCAAGATTCCATCTGTGATGCTCAGATTCCATGTGGGCACCCATCATATCCTGTCTGCTTCTCTTCTGATCCAGCTCTCTGCTTATGGCCTGGGGAAGCAGTGGAAGATGGCTCGAATTCTTGGGCCCTAGCACCCAGCTAGGGAGACCCAGAAGAAGCTTCTGGCTCCTGGTTTTGGATCAGTGCAGCTCTGGCCATTTGGGAGTGAACCAGTAGATGGAAGACCTCTTTCTTTGTCTCTTCCTCTCTTTGCAACTCTGCTTCTCAAATAAATAATTATTCTTTTTAGATTTTATTTGTTTTCATTTTAAAGAAAGAGATAGAGATAAGTAGATAGAGAGATAGAAAGAGATCTCATCCAATGGTTTACTCCCTAAATGCTCAGAACAGCCATGGTTAGGCCTGGCCAAAACCAGGAGCCAGGAATTTCATCCAGGCTTCCCATGTGGGTGACAGGTATATGAGCCATCACCTGCCTCCCAGGGTGTGCATTAGCCAGAAGCAGTAATCAGGAGCAGAGCAATGACTCAAACCTTCGTGACTCCAATATGGGATGTAGGTGTCACAAACGGTGTCTTAACCATTGCACCAAACATCCCCCCCCTACTTCTTTTGAAAACAGTCCAGGACCAACTTAAATTTGGTTATTATCTTTATGATTCTCTGTTTTGTCTAACCCAAACATGTTCAGAAGAAATGATAATATAAAATTAGAAATAATATGAATTAAGCACATGTTATATTTATGATCTAAATTTTAAAATGATAATATAAAATTTTTAAATGATAATATAAAATTAGAAATAATATGAATTGGCCGGCGCTGCGGCTCACTAGGCTAATCCTCCGCCTTATGGCACCGGCACACCGGGTTCTAGTCCCAGTCGGGGCGCCGGATTCTGTCCCGGTTGCCCCTCTTCCAGGCCAGCTCTCTGCTGTGGCCAGGGAGTGCAGTGGAGGATGGCCCAAGTGCTTGGGCCCTGCACCCCATGGGAGACCAGGAGAAGTACCTGGCTCCTGCCATCGGATCAGCGCAGTACGCCGGCCGCGGCGGCCATTGGAGGATGAACCAACGGCAAAAGGAAGCCCTTTCTCTCTGTCTCTCTCTCTCTCACTGTCCACTCTGCCTGTCAAAAAATAAAAAATAAAAAAAAAAGAAATAATATGAATTAAGCACATGTTATATTTATGATCTAAATTTTAAAATTCCTTTTAAGGGCTGAGGGTTCACATATTCTATCCATGCTTAAAAATCATGGCTTCCTGAGTAGTCAGCCAGCTCTGGGTAGATAGAAACAAAAGGCATGGAGGGAATAATCTCTGCAGTCTGTGCACCAAGAATCTACGCGATAGAGAAGTATCAACTCAGATCTCAAGATCACAATCTCAAGGGCTGTGCAAATATCCCTGTAGCACCAATTATATTTAAGGCCTTGTCAATTCATTGTGCTCACATACAACAACACTCTATACCCTGTTCCTGTGTATTTACAGTCCAGA